ACTGAATAATATAGCAGCTTATTTAGTAAACAATGTAACAGGAAACTACCACTTCCAGATTATATTACTGAATAATATAGCAGCTTGTTTAGTAAACAATGTGACAGGAAACTACCACTTCCAGATTATATTACTGAATAATATAGCAGCTTGTTTAGTAAACAATGTGACAGGAAACTACCACTTCCAGATTATATTACTGAATAACATAGTAGCTTATATATTCAAACAATGTAACAGGAAACTACCACTTCCAGATTATATTACTGAATAATATAGCAGCTTATTTAGTAAACAATGTGGCAGGAAACTACCACTTCCAGACTATATTACTGAATAACATAGAAGTTTATTTACAAAAACAATGTGACAGGAAACTACTACTTCCAGATTATATTACTGAATAACATAGCAGCTTATTTAGTAAACAATGTAACAGGAAACTACCACTTTCAGATTATATTACTGAATAAAATAGTAGCTTATATGTTAAAACAATGCGACAGGAAACTACCACTTCCAGATTATATTACTGAATAACATAGAAGTTTATTTACAAAAACAATGTAACAGGAAACTACCACTTCCAGATTATATTACTGAATAATATAGCAGCTTATTTAGTAAACAATGTGGTAGGAAAATACCTTTTCTAGCTCGCTGACAAATCTACATCTTCATACATAAAACATGTCTACTTGCTTTCATTAAGTTACCATACATCTATTTGCTATTTGAACAAAAACAAATGAATACAAAGTATTCAGCAGAGTGTCTTTTAAATTGGTTAATATAGATAGCACCAAAACGTAGGGTTTATAAACTAAAGCATATTCTTATAAGATTATATATAGCAAAATAAAAACCTGAACAATCTTACGAACTACTTACCGCTGATATCATTGATATATATTAGTCTTTTTCGTAACGAAACAGCTCACCTTCTACAATAGTCTTACCAACCACAAACGTCCGCTCCTATATTCCGGTTTGTGGTTTGTATGCGGTTACTTCGAGGTTGAAATAGAATATTACTTACCTCCAATTCCTTACTAATCTTCCTCTTGTTATTTTGAGGTTTAGGTTCTAAAGGTGGTAACGTCTTGACCAACATCTCTGCTGCCTCCGCTAACCGCTGGATTTGAGTTTCAACAAGAACCGGTGTAAGGGAAATCGGAGAACCCGGTTGTCCGTACTCTCCTGTGACCTTAGAACAACAAACAAATACATGGACTTACTGCTTATCCTGCCCCATCATTATTCCGATAGGTCGTTACTCCGATGGTTTTCGTTGTTATAATGTTATGCTGTATGTTGCACATCTAAATGCACGTCTACACAAATTCCAATTACTTGCAATAAACTAGTCTTAATTTGTAATTATCGTAATTGCTATTTTCAAATAAATATCAAAGTTTGCAGAATATTACACATGAATAACGCAATACACAAGAATGTGTTCATATAACTTTCCAAAAAGATACAAGTTAAACTTATAAAACATTAGTGTTAGAGGATGGAACGTTTGTAGCAGGACAAATGTTGAATACAAATATTTCATACTTGTACAAATATTAGGCTTCCTAATAAATAAGAATTAATAACTTATAGCGTATATAATTCCATCGGAATAACGACACGTCAAAATGTAAAAACGGGAATTGTGCGCTAGTCTACTGGATCGACCTTTCATTTTTACACAACAGATTAACGACCAACAAGCTATTAGATACGTTAAAAATAATAATAGTTAAAAGGGTGTTGCGTTTGTTTAGTACCATATCATTTTCAAACTATTTTTTATGAGGAGACGCTTTGTTATAGACCTCTACATTATGAAAGACTTAGCCAATGAGGCACGAGGATCTAACTTTACAGCTCTATTCTTAGACATGCAATTGGTCTGTTTTTAGTATTTCTTTAATTTGTTCATTCCGAAAAATCTGCTATGTTCACATTAGATTTGATATTAAAAGGGGTGAATAACATAATGTAATATTAATGCGTATTATAATAGCTAGAAGTAGTCCTATAGAACATGCTATGCTTGAAGATCCTATTTACTAGCACTCTGTAATACGCATATTGTGGTTGCTAGCACTTGCAACTTATTTTTGAGCCTGCAATGAGTTATTTCAAATTTCAGTAAGAAGTATTTAACCTTTATTCATATAAGTAAAAGTAAAGGTATAACACCTACAGTTTTTACTTTGAAAGCGGCCGATCTGTTATGGATCGTTCATTTTGATTTCTACTTCATAAGAAAATTCTACATAAATATGTAATGTACTAAAACAAGCAGGTTCATTACTAACTAGCAATGTGAAATGGGGAAGTATCCTAAAAGGCAGAAATATACCAAAAATACCATTACAGAAAACATTTAAATTAAAGGTCTTGGTTATGGTTATATATATGTTACACGTGGAATTCAAAAACATTCTATTGCATAAGTTAACAACGAAATTGTACACATAAGTTCCCAAAATAAAATACTACCCAGGGATCAGACATTCCTCAATGGGAGTTTGTTCAGTGTCTGAATATTCCTCAGTATTATAACACAAATACTGTTCAACATAGCATTCAGTTCACCTTTAGTCAGACGAATGATAACGAGATAAACAGTTCATGCAGTCTCATCCCTATTGTTTAGTTGTTTAAAGAACTATTATAAAGTTATTTTAATAACTTAGCTCTCTCGCGTAACTTGTCATCTCTATATCTCGATATGACGCAGCTGACATAAACTACAACTCTTTCCAACTTCTGTAATATTCCCGAAAATCGATTTTAACGTTAGGGTTATGATACGTTGGGTCACAAATGGTTATGCCATTAAAGATTGAAAAAGAAGCATTACAATTAACCATCAGAATTTTTGATTATCTAATCTAACTTTGCAGTATGTTAAAAACATATTTCATAGAATTGTGCTTAAGAAATAAACTTCAAGCACAAATAAAAGTTTAGTAAATATCACATTATTAATGTTAAAGTAAACATGTAAATTCATATACAAGTACAATATTTCCGTAATAGTGTTCAAGCAAACAAGTATATCCATTAATACACATAAAATATCCCAATAAGTACATCAAGCAAGTGAGTATATCTGCTAAAACATAACATTGTAAAAAAGAAAAACTCCACAGTATTCAAACAAACAGTTTTGTTTCTTTGTAGTTCAGCACAAAGCTACACTTTGGGCTATCTGTGCTATGCCCACCACGGGTATTGAAACCCGATTGCTAGTGCTATATCAAACAAGCAAATATATACACTGAGATATATACTATTAAAACAAGAGAGTAGAAAAAATTTCTAATGTTTAAGTAAACAAGTATATCATTAGTTGGTTTTAAACAAACAAGTATATCATTAGTTGGTGTTAAACAAACAATTATGTCATAAGTTGGTTTTAAACAAACAAATATATCATTAGTTGGTTTTAAACAAACAAGTATACCATTAGTTGGTTTTAAACACACAAGTATATCATTAGCAAGTTATAAACAAACAAGTATGTCATTAGTTAGTTTTAAATAGACAAGTATATCATTAGTTGGTTTTAAACAAACATGTATATATTTAGTTGGTTTTAAAGAAATATGTATATATTTAGTTGGTTTTAAAGAAACGTGTATATCATTAGTTGGTTTAAACAAACAAGTATATCATTAGTTGGTTTAAACAAACAAGTATATCTTTAGTTGGTTTTGAACAAACAAGTATATCTTTAGTTGGTTTTAAAGAAACGTGTATATCATTAGTTGGCTTAAACAAACAAATATATCATTAGTTAGATTTAAACAAACAAGTATATCATTAGTTGGTGTTAAACAAACAAGTATATCATTAGTTGGTGTTTAACAAACAAGTATACATTAGTTGGTTTTAAACAAACAAGTATATCATTAGTTGGTTTTAAACACACAAGTATATCATTAGTTAGTTTTAAACAAACAAATATATCATTGGTTGGTTTTAAACAAACATGTATATATTTAGTTGGTTTTAAAGAAATATGTATATATTTAGTTGGTTTTAAAGAAACGTGTATATCATTAGTTGGTTTAAACAAACAAGTATATCATTAGTTGGTTTAAACAAACAAGTATATCTTTAGTTGGTTTTGAACAAACAAGTATATCTTTAGTTGGTTTTGAACAAACAAGTATATCTTTAGTTGGTTTTGAACAAACAAGTATATCTTTAGTTGGTTTTAAAGAAACGTGTATATCATTAGTTGGCTTAAACAAACAAATATATCATTAGTTAGATTTAAACAAACAAGTATATCATTAGTTAGATTTAAACAAACAAGTATATCATTAGTTGGTGTTAAACAAACAAGTATATCATTAGTTGGTGTTTAACAAACAAGTATGCCATTAGTTGGTTTTAAACAAACAAGTATACCATTAGTTGGTTTTAAACACACAAGTATATCATTAGCAAATTATAAACAAACAAGTATATCATTAGTTGGTGTTCAACAAACAAGCATATCTTTAATTAGTTCTGAACAAACAAATATATCATTAGTTGTTTTTTAACAAACAAATATGTCATTAATTGGTTTTTAACAAACAAGTATGTCATTAGTTTGTGTTAAACAAACAAATATATCATTAGTTGGTTTGAACAAACAAGTATATCTTTAGTTGGTTTTGAACAAACAAATATGTCATTAGTTGGTTTTTAACAAACAAATATGTCATTAGTTGGTTTTAAACAAACAAGTATATCATTAGCTTGTATTGTGTTTGATATTACATCACAATAAGAGTGACAAGAACGTTCTTCACTGACCAAATAGACTTTCAAATAAAAAGAGCATAACAGCATTGAAATTACACTTTATCTGGTGTATTGGTTGCTGCCGAAAATCTTTTTGCTCCATTACCGGATTCTTCAAGGCGGGTGAGTTAGGACATAAAAGTGCATAACAGTCTTTATAATTTTTAAAAACTCAAACAGCTAAGCAAAAAATTTGGGAAAAAAAACGTTGTCCATAAAAGATAGGTATGTAATGGTTTATGATAGAGGTTAACTCTGATTGGTGTATCTCCGCCACTGTAGAGATTTCACTTCTGCAGCTAGCTTTCTTACTTTTCACGTATTGTATATAGTATAAAATACAGGTTAAATGTGTTGAGTAAAATATCATACAATAAAGGTTGAATGTGTTGAGTAGAATACCATAAAATACAGGTTGAATGTGTTAAGTAGAATACCATACAATACAGGTTGAATGTGTTGAGTAAAATACCATACAATAAAGGTTGAATGTGTTGAGAAGAATACCATACAATACAGGTTGAATGTGTTGAGTAGAATACCATACAATAAAGGTTTAATGTGTTGTGTAGAATACCATAAAATACAGGTTGAATGTGTTGAGTAGAATACCATAATATACAGGTTGAATGTGTTAAGTAGAATACCATAAAATAGATGTTGAAAGTTTTGAGTAGAATACCATACAATACAGGTTGAATGTGTTGAGTAGATTACCATACAATAAAGGTTGAATGTGTTGAGTAGATTACCATACAATACAGGTTGAATGTGTTGAGTAGATTACCATACAATACAGGTTGGATGTGTTGAATAGAATACCATAAAACACAGGTTGAATGTGTTGAATAGAATACCATACAATAAAGGTTGGATGTGCCGAGTAGAGTAAAATACAGGTTGAATGTGTTGAGTAGAATACCATACAATAAAGGTTTAATGTGTTGAATAGAATACCATAATATACAGGTTGAATGTGTTGAGTAGAATACCATACAATAAACACACTGTGAGCAATCAAGCAAAAGTTTATGTACAATTTAATCCTAATGTATTCTGATCAAAATAAACTAAAGTTGGAATGTATCCGGCTTCCAAATGAATTCTTTTGAAGTTAGCAGATAATTCGCAAACTGGGAATAATATGTTGGTGATGTAGTGAAAAAAAAAAACATGTAAGAAAAGGAAAAGGTTAAAAAAATTCTCATTTGCTCCAAAGTACCAGAATCCAACTGAACTTTTGTTTATTGTACTTCTTTCAGAAGTTAATTATAAAACGTTAATTATTCCAGAATAACCAGAATTTTAACACGGCTTACATTATATCTCACGTTGCTTACATTGCCAACAAATTTACACTCTGTCTCACATTACTTGCTTACATAATTCCAAGAAGACTTATAC